CAAAGCAGCACAGAATCATTTACATTGCATAAGAACTTTGAGATCCTCAAAGCCCAACCATTAACCCAGCACTGCCCAGCCCACCACTAAACCGTGGCACTCGAAGGCAGCACCACGTGCCTGCTGGGGGATGGAACCCAGGCAGAGATACCCACAGCAGGAATGGGGTGGGAGCACCAGGGAGACAGGAGGAGAGGCAGAAACAGGGAGTGGGAGCAGGACAGAGAAAGAAAAAGAAGGACAGGGCGCAGGAGGGAGATGAAGAACAAAACTGGGACGGGCAGCACAGCAGAAAGGGATTAAAAAAGAAAAGGGGCAGGGAATGGGACAGAAGGATAGCAGTGAGAAACAATGAGGACAGAGCAACAGTAAAAAAAGAAAGGGAACAGGAGAGGGGCATGGAGAAGGACAGATAAAAAGACAGCAACAGGGAAAGAGGATCAGGGAGCAGGACACTGGGGCAGAATGAGAAAAAGAGGGGCAGGACAGACATAGGAAAAGGAGAAGCAGAAGGAAGGAAAGATAAAGATGCAGACAGGGAGGGACATATGGAGAGTAAAAGTAGGACAGGGAACAGGGAAAGGGATTGAGCAATATTTATTATATTAATATTGAATATTTATTTATTAAAAGAGAAAAACAAAACCAAACTAGAGCAAAGTAGTGACAGGGAATGGGATGGGGAGCAGACAGGACAAGAAAACGACACAAAAGACACAGAGAGGAAAAAAAGGGATGGAAAGTTGGATATAAGGATGAAAGAAAAACAGGAACGAAATGCAGTATTTATTACAGGCTGTGGCTGATGAACGTGTAAATGACCCAGCAGCTCAGACACAACCACAGCCCGGCACTCCTTAATTCAGCATCTGTTTGTGCTGCTCAGCCATAATCCCAGCCTGTGCTCTCAGTTAATGCTCTGATCTCAGGCTTTTCTCAGGGAAATTTCACCTGTTTCCATGCTCTTCCCCCCACCCCCCCCATTGTCTCAGTGTGCTCTGAATGAACGTGATGAGAGACAAACTCAACTATAACCTTTTCCTTGCTTTTCAGTCATTCCTGACATCAAACACCTCGCACTGGAGAAGACCAAATAGCTTATTTTTACCAGTCCAAATTCTGCAGGTTTTTGTATCATCTGTTTCCTGCCGTTATGAGAAGTGAGAAGTGTTTTGGGCAGCACAATGAATAAAATGTTCTAATTTTCAGAACACACAATTGCACAAGAACAGACAGCAAAATTGTCTCGAGGCAGTTTAGGCACACATTTCCCTTTTTGCACTCTGAGCTTTCTTTTGTTTCATGCCTGAAATTCCGAGTTTCTAAATACTCTGCCCCAGTCCTTCCCTCTCCTCAGTGTCAGTGTCGCAGTCTTACGAAAACAGCGGAATTTTCTTGAGCACTGAACATCAGCCTTCACGTCACAAAGAGGGGTTCAGCAGCCAAGCCCTGCCTGTTGCTTCCACCAACTGTTCAGGCCAAGCACAGGTCCTTCCTCTGCAAAGAGTTTACACTGGGTCAAGCAGCACAAAAAGCAGCAGCATCAGAGTCACTCAGACACAAAAACTTTACAGCATGAACCATTTAAAATAAAAAAAAGCTCCCCCCAAAAACCACAGCACACAACATCCCAAATTACAGTTCAGCATTGCAATGTATTATTATGTGCAACACTCGACATTTACAAAATGAAATACGGCCACGTGCCAGGGGTCTCAGATACAAGGCAAAGGGACACAATACTCCGGATCTCTGGATGTACAACACACGTGCTGCCCGTGGTGCTCTCTGCCTTATGTCACACCCCCACAGCAGATGTGGGGAGAGCCCCACGTCCCCCTAAGGCAGCAGCCCTGGCTGAGTCAGGGGGGTGCAGAGCATCACCCATGACTGGGCTGTCTGGGACAAAGCCCCAGGAACACGTGCATGGAACACCAACTGCTCTCTGCACAGGCAGGACTGACCCTCGGGTCTCGCTCAGGGTGTGACAGCGTCACAAACGCTGGAACGTGTTCTCCAGGCCAGCACACGCTGGGATGCTGGAAACAAACTGCACAGAATAGTGTTCTCCTTCACACTGCTGACACATTTCACCCTCTGCTAACACAAATAGTACCTGGGATAGGTGCTGTCAAATCCCTCTGCAAACCTGCACTGCTGCTTCCCTTGAAGTTCCTCACCAACCTCCTTCACCATTTTCTGCAAGGAGCCTGAACCAGCAGACTGACAGATTTTAATGCTAAATTAGGGTCTCCACAGTCTTTCTCTTCCCCTCCTCTACAACGTTTTCTTTCAATTTTCTCTTCCACCCCCCTAGTTCTGTCTAAAACAATGCATACAAACAATAATACAGCTAACAATACATCAAGTTCAGGTAAAGGCACTGGAATCGGCAGTGCCGACGTTACAATCTTCTTACAGATAACACGAGTTACAAAAGAGCTCTCCTGGAACAGGAAAAGGAGAGAGAACACATATACTTTTAATGCAATACTCTAAAACCAGCAAGAGATTTATTCTTGTATATTAAATGTTAAAATCACATGCATAATTATAGAATACTTTATAGTTAAAAAAATATTTAAAAAACCAACCCTGACAGTTTACCTGCAACTGCTATAAAATTTCTATGATATATATATATATGTATATATATATATATAAACATGATGATTTTCTGTAATCAAAAAAATTAGAAAAGGATGCAATCATCCAGGTAATTATGAGTTAACTGATGCCCTGCATCGGACAGTCTCGTCAAACTCCTGCTGGCAAAACTGAGCTCATACCAGCCAGTTTACTGAAATACTTGTCTAGCATGCAGATTTAAATCAAAATGACATTTGGCTAAACAACGAGTGTAAGAAAATAGATTTTTGCACACTACAGCAAAGATCTGTGAAGGGCCACAGTGTCATATGCTGCGAAATAGCCTGTGGGACAAGAAATGGAGCCTCATGGGCTATTCCCTCAAACACGCTGGTGGAATATTCTGCATAACTGGCCATGTGCACGGGGTTGAGAACACGGGTTTGTAAGCAGTGCTGGAAATGCCAGCATGTGTTTTACTAGGCTTCGTGGTTTAAGACATGTTTTAGCTCCTAAGGAAGGCAGCAACAAAGGTGTTTGTAACAGTTAACAAGAAACAGGAATTAAACTGATGAGCTGCTGGCTTTAAGAAGGTGAGTCATTGCTGTTCTGGAAGATGGCCCCGTACGGGTCACTGTTAATGCGCCTGTAGACAAAGTGAAACACCTGGGGCTGGGGACGGCTGTGCAACTCCGCCTTGATCTTCTGAGGGTAGGTGTCCTCTGTCAGTTGTTGCCAGGTGTCATCCACAAAAAGAAACAGGCTGTATTCTTCGGGATTGTCCACTTTAAACTTCTCAGCACAAAGCTGACACACATCCTCGGTAGTGATGTATGGCCTTACTAGTAAGGTCTTCCCCGTACACCCACTGTTCACCTCCTGGAATGCAACACGAAGGTAGTTCTGCAGGACAAGGAAACAGGCATCAGAAACTCAAACAAACCCCTCATCCTCTGAAAACTGAACAGTCAGCAACAAATGCCCACAACTCTGATAAAATGGATACATTCTAAACATGCCCTACCAGGAAATGCAGTTTTACCCTTCAAAAAGCATTTGAACAGTAAAATAAAGAGCAAGAAATGGGAGGGTGGGAGCCCCCAAAAGTTTTTGGACACGTGAACACGGTGTCCAGCTGCTGCATGTAACACTTTTTTGTTTGCTTGTTTGAAAAGAAAAATTAGCTGCAAGTAAAGGCTAAAAGGCAGTAAAATTAAAGGAGGCAGAAAAAAATTACAGTGAGAAAGAGCTGTTTATTGACTGAGCTGGTACCTATAGTTTGTGTGCTGAATAAATTAAGCATGCTAAATCACAGTGGCAAAAATGTACATTTCACAGAAAAAAGCTGGGACTGACAAGAATGTTCATATGATTCAAGTTTCAAAGAGCACTCTTATCTTAATAAAGACAGCATGCAGACTGGAACACTGAAGCTCTGCAACAAATTTTAAACCATTGGGACTGAATCTGACTGAATAAAATTAATCCATTTTTGTTACCTGGCGTGAAGAAATTATAGAAAAAAATCAGCCTTAGATAAGGCAAAAGACACTACACTTTTAATTCCTATTGCAGCTACCACAGAGAAGACCTGTTTTTAAATACATGTGCCTTTAGATGGACAGGATTGCTTGAAGGAGAGGCTGAAGTTTGTAAAAATGCCTGTGATTCATATGCATTAAAATTATTCACACAGTATCAGAAAGCTATATTTAATCATCATCAAAAAACATGACTTCTCCTTTTCCATCCCTTTGGGGAAGGAGGAAAGGCAGCCTTCCAGGGCCCAAAAGCTGATAAGGCTGTGAGACCACATCCCAGAAATGTCATGGTCACAGCCCGGTTCCATGTGGGAAGGATGAGCTGAGCTCCAGTTGTGTTACACACTGGGGGGAGGGAAGGTGCTCCATTGCAGGACTGCAGGACTCAGGAAGAGAGAGAAAACTGGCATTCTGAGCAGACAGAAAAACGCCTGAATTTGTGCCAAGCATAGCCTGGAAGTACAGGGATCTACTGACTGGAGGCTCTTTTAAAGAGACAACAGAATGAGAGAGGCACTGGAAGCACTCAGTGACAGCTCTTCCCTTGCCTCTTCCTGCATCCAGCTGGACACTGAGCTTGGATGAAGTTCCTTTGCAGAGAGAGAGAAGCTGAAACTGCACACAAGATGCTGCTGAAAGAATCTTCCGTAATTTTGTCATCCAGCAGAAACAGAAGGTGTTGGATTTCCCTTTGGGAAGTGCAGTGTTTTGCCAGAAAGAACAAAGAATCTGCCACCTAAGGACAGGTAAGCAGAACACAAGATGCATCCCAGTAAGATGGACCAGCTTTGTGCACTGGCCATGGGTTGGACTTTCTGTTAGTCTGTTCTCCTCTTCCTAACTGCAAACAACTGAACACAAAAGAGTAAAAAAAAAAAATCCTTTCTTCTCCATTCCAACATCCTCCTTGCTTCAGTCCACAAACTGCTGCATCTGAACAGCCAGTCAACAGCACATGAAAGATGCAGGCCTGGTTTTAAAAGATGAAGCAATCCCGAGTGTTTTGTTATTCTTCAGTTGAAGGTACTGCCCTGCTCTGAAAGAGCAGTACAAAATGCAGGGGAGGGGAAAACAAACAAACAAACAAACATGAAGACATCAATATTACACAACTCTACTGCTTGCTTAAACTTTAAAACTGTAGGCAAACTTTTCTCCCACCTGTCCTCTCTGTTTATTACCTGCTGTATGCCAGCACTGGCTGCTGGGGAGCTGTGCTGATTTACACCACTGCACATCTGGATTTGATCTTTTTATCACTAAAGCATACAAAGAAGCTGAATCTAAGATACAACTCAGTTTGTCCTTGCTCTGCATGACTTAGAAGGGCGAGTGAGAAAGCTCCATTATTTAGTGATTTCTTTACACCATCATAACCAAGCTCTTTGATAATGTGCAAAGCCTTCAAAACTGAGGCAGATTTGCCAGACATAATCTCAGCACTGCTTCACTCCACTTGCAGCCCTGAGCGAATTGCTATGAATCATCTCTCTCAAATGGGAGTTTCCAACAAAACAATCATCCCAGTTTTTATTTCAGCCCTAAGTTCTACCTGAAAATCATCAACTGAAGGCACTGTCCTGTTGGTTGTCCTCCTCTTGTGCCACTGCCGCAGAGTGTCCCTGGCCTCTGAGCTGAGGAGTTGGGCAGCTTGTTCTTCCTGGAAGTTCTTGATCAGTGAAAGTGCTCCGTAGGCGCTCGTCAAGTAATAACCTCCTGTGGGGGACAGCGAGGGAACAACTTCTCAGAGTGCTCACAGTCACAAGTACAGGCACTTTCTTTAATATATATGAACACACACACAGAGACATACACACATATAAAGTCCTTGTGCTCTGCTGCCAAAATATCAATACATAAAGGAAAACAGCTCACTGGCCTGCAAAACACTGGCTGGTGTGTTCTCAGCTGCTGAGGGACGTGCAGTGGTTGCACCTTCTCCACGCTATCAAGTGGTGCCTCTCTCTGTGCCCACTGCTGCTCAGGACAGCTGGTTACTTAAATAACTCCTGTTACTCCTGAGTGTTTCTACATTCTAAGTTGGAATGCCAGTTTCCTTCTCAACAATTTTCAAACAGCGATTTGTTTTCTTACCGAGCTTCAGATGGGGATGAAATAAACATAGCTGTTTAAACAAAGGAAAAGACAATCTACCACTGTTCAGCATCTTAAATGGCAATAAAGAAACAACTGAGTGTGAGGTTTGTACTCTGGAATCATCCCAAAGAGTTGCCTTTGTTTTTAAAAGGAAGACTGATCTGTCACCTTCTTATAGTTCCTCATAATGTCCAACTAGTTCAGGAGATGACGTGTACAGTGCTCCATGCTCCACCTTTATTACATGAGCGGAGAGCAAATTAAAGCCACAACAGAGCCGTCAATGTACAAAAGAAGCTGCAGGTCACAAAGGAAAAGGAGTCTCAACAGGAGGTAACAGTTCTCAGTAACCAGGAGAGACAAAAGACATGCTGTCTTTTCTTTTTCTGCAAGCAAACTATGTGAGTGGGAGTGTCCAACTAAGAGGCAGCACAGTCTATTCACGGAGGCATTCAAAGCTGCATTCTGTGCCCACAGTAGTATTTTCTATATATTTGACAGAGTCCCCTCTCAGCCTTTAGCTTTGCAGCAAGATTAATACATAAAGCACATGCAAGACCAGTGAGACAAGTTGGACAATACGTTACAGTTGAAATGCACAACCCCAAGGCACTAAACAATTTTTACTGCACAGTATAATTCAGCTGGTGCCTAAGACAGGACCAGCCAATGGACAGGCCTCTTTTGCTGCTTTAAAAACAACGTGACTTGATAGCCCAGCAAGTGTTTCTGCCTTTGAAGCAGGTTAATGATTCCCAGCTTCACATTTCAGATATTTTCCATGCTAAGGTTCCTGAACAATGCACTCGAGGATGCTCTGTACACAAAGCAAGGAACAGACTAGTGCCAAGCTGGAGGAATCATGGCAGGAATTCTCTCAGGCATCCCGGCAGGGTAGAGGATACAGCAAGTTCAGCAAGCCAGGAGACAGCAGGAATAGGAAACGTCCACATAGACCCAAATACACAGCTGAGCTTCCTCACGAGAACCTTGAAAATCCCTCATAAACCCAGGGGTTCTGGGGCCTACTGGGGCCTGGCAGAAGGTGTTAAAAATGTCACCAGGAAAACAGCAAGGAGAGAGATTTCCTTGCCTCTAGCAATACTGCCTTGGGAAACGTATTCCTGGGGCTCATAAAAACACTTTATGAGAATCAAATATTGGGAAGAAGCAAAGATGATTAAAGAGGGGCAGTATTCTCAGAAGCACTTCCCCCAGAGGAGCAAGGAAGGCCCCCAGTTTCTACAAAGCCCCTAACCCAAGTCCCACCACGTGCCTCACAGTTCAATGGAACGCTGCTGCCCTACAAACACCCTCCTGACGTCACCTATGTTAGGGCTCCCTTTCAAAGGGTTTCCACTCAGACAAGGTGAACAGCAACTGTGCTATGAGGAAGAACCCCCCTTCACTAGTCCTTCACTGGGTTCTCATAAAAATAAATAAATAGATTACCTTCTCCATGCAGCAGAGATGGATCCAGCAGCTCCATCATGTATTCAATCTCAGTGTCCAGCTCCAGCATATCACACTGGGCCAGCACGTATGTCAGCACAGGCAAGAAGTCATCAGCTCCATACAGCCTCCCTGGGTTGAGGGGAACACAGACAATGAGAGATGAACCACACCCTTTCACCAATTTCTGTGTTTGAAAGCAAAGCATTGTTTTGTGCCTCCCTGACCAGTACATCTGGATTGCTCTCAAGCCTCCTGTCACCAGTGTGCAGCAAGGAGAACCTCATCTGACACTCCATGGACAGGAGAGCAACACCAGCTCCATCCTGTCCTTCTAACCAGCACAGATCTGACGATGCACACCTTGAGGCACGAAAGGGACACTCAGAGCCTGGGCCCACCCTGGCACCAGCTCAGCTGGAGAACTCACACAGGCTGCCATGCCAGCCTGGCCTGACCTCCACCTGTGCTTCTACCACTGCCTAAGAGATGAGCAACAGGCATTTGCTTTATACATCCACCTTCTGGAAGGATCCAGACACAAATACCAGTTTCTGAGTCTGAATCCCACAGCAGAGAAGCCTGAATATAAAAGTGTATTAAATTTGACATGGAAACTCAACTCATTTTCTTGACAAGAGAATAGTTAAAAACATCAATGAGCAAGGCCTTCTGTACCTGAAGGGAGCCTACAAGAAATATGGAGAAAGACTATTTATAAGGGCCTGGAGGGACAGGACAAGGGGGAATGGCTTCAAACTGAAAGAGAGTGAGTTTAGATAAGATATTAGGAAGAAATTCTAATTTCTTCTGTGCCCTGGCACAGGTTGCCCAGATAGCACAGCATGGAGAAAGGAGTTTACAGAACTTCAGGCCTGCACTCCTATATCCATTTTTAAAATGCAGGATTTTGCACAGAAATAATAAGCTGGGCAGAGCTCAGTCCTAAATCTTGCAATTTAGGGGGGCTTTAACGGCCATGAGCTTTCACCATCAAACCTCAAAAGAAAGAAGGTGTCTTGATAAGCCCCGAAACCAGCTGCACGTTCCATGCTCCCTTAGAAAGAAAACTGCCAACCACCTGCAGCAGCTTATACAGGGGAAAAAATCTGCCACTACCACAGCCTTGCTTCAGCTCAGCTCAGGACCCATCACAGCAGGGTATGAGGAGATGTCAGAGTTGCTCCTATAAATTCAGGCTACTCAGCACAGCATTTTAATTGTGCCACTGACTGCTCAGCAGGTCTTAACTTGTTTTTAGTCCCATTTCTGTACTCAGGTTTCAAAGGCATTTTAGGATTCTTGCTACAGTACAGAAATAGACGCTTCCTTTTCCAAAAGCATGACAGAAAGTGTCCAAATGAGAACATTCAAAGGCACAGCAAGCCAAAAATACTGGGTTAGAGCCTGCTTTTCTCCACCCATTAACACAGAACCCTGTAGTTGTCATATTGCATCCACGCTATTGAATTACTACAGCTAAATATAGGGTGTTACCTCTATTATTAATTTGCAGAAAAATACTAATTTAGAATGGGTGTCAAATTCAAGGCTCACAAGACAGCCTTTCTGACAGCCAACTTCAAAGCCCACAGCCAAGCAAAGCTGCTCTTTGTCAGCTGCTTCTCACACTGAGTTTGTAAGATGTGCTACCAGATGCAGCAGAGACAGCAGGGATGAGGCAGAGAGGAAGAACCCCTCTCAAACGGACAAGGAGATGCTACAGGAGCTCCAGGAGGAGACCCATCTGCAGAATCAGGGGGCCTGATTCCCCTAAAAGACAACGCCAGGAATGGAGTGTCTGAACTTGAGCTCTAAGAAGCACCATACCTGAGTTATTCTCCATAACAGTGTAAATCAGTTTGCAAACCCTCAGCAGCAGCATGACCTTCTTTTCAGGGGAGTACATCTTCTGCATAGTCAGGAACTTGACTTTAATCTTTTCCACGTCCACGAAGTCCGGGGTGGGAACAAACACGCCCAGCTCCTGAGGGTTCCTCTGCCGCACCAGCTGCAGGTTCTCCTTGAGCTGTTTCCAGGACCCATCCGTGGTGTGGAACTCTTTCAGCATCGCTTCAATGTGACCCTTCAGCGGCTTCAGAATGCACTTGTGCATGGCCTTCTCCAGGACAACATCTGCAACGGCAAAACACGAGCCCAGCTGACTTCCTCCTCTAAAGCAGAGCCAGTACTAACACAACCATTCCCCAGAGAGAGGCTGGAGAGCAAAACCAACTGGCTGAGGCCTGTTTATTACACAAGCCGAGTTTCCAGATGTTTGTTAACAGGAAAACAAGAGGCAGAGCAGAATCTGTGTTCCATTGTCATTTAGGGCAGTTGGTAAATACAGAAAAAACACCCACAAAGATGAACTACAGACAGTAAAAAAAAAAAAAAAAGCAAGCTGAGGCTCTGCTTAAGTTTTTCTTTTGTTGGTCAGAAGTCTCCAAGTTTTATTTTACTTCCAGCTTAGCCTTTAACTCCCAAATTTAAACTAAAACACAGGCAACATCATAAAATCATAATTTTTGCCTGCTTTGGCATTAAAGCCCATCCTTTTTGCATAGTTTCCATTGGAAATTATAACTCAACCAAGGTTCCCTAAAACTTGGCTAAACTTGTCAGGATCTTTACGAAGCTGGACAGATTATGGGCTTTAACCATAAATGAAAACCAAGCTGTGTTTGTCCAGCTTCAGATTTCATCACACAAGCTCACATACAGCTTTGTCATCAAGTTGGAAGTTCTTTGTTTGGCAGCAGTGTGCACGTGGCACTGTAACCACAAACTTACAGGCTTCTTTGAATTCTTGTTCTACTCAAGTGTTTCTCTAACCCTCGTTCTCCATTTCCAAAGTACGGACTACATCAACAGAGAAAGCTCTTCACTAAACATTTTCTCTGCAAACCTTTACTTCATAAAGGAATTTCTTTCCCCAGCATCCTGACAGCAACAGCATCAGTGCCTTTATGGCAATATAGCTGACATTAGTTATCAGATTCCATCAGTTATTTGGACCATAGTGGAGAACATTCAGCTCTCAGGACCAGAGCCTGGAGCAGGCAGGGGAGTACCAGCTCTGAGAGCAGAAAGGGGAGAGACTGTGTCACTGCTGGATCACGTTTTTACAACACAGCAGTGGACATTCCTGCTAGTAATGGTGACCCAGTAAAGTTTCATTAAACCCCATGCCCTTCCCAGGTTGTCTGTACTTCTGTCTTTTTCTTAGACTACAGCCTCTTTCTTTTCTCTCTGCCCCCCCTTTATTTCAAATCACATACTCTTTCTAAGGCTTGGGATTTACACACATACCTCTCTTTCCCACACAGACACACCCTGCACACACTCCTCCTCTTATGGTGCCTTGGCTTCATATGTAGTGTTTATTCTGTGTTTGTCTGGTGTGCAATTCCCAAACTTGCAACTCTCCTGGGAGCTCCCCTCTCCCCTGCCCCAGTTCTGCTGTAGCTTGTCTTGCTGCCTTCCACTTTTGAGACCCTGATGGAGGGGCAAAGCTGTGTCTGCTTTATTCCAGGACCTTACAAACACATCTGGGCTCTCCTTCACAACAGAGACTGTCAAACTGCTGCAGGTGAGAAAGAGTGAATGTGAAGAGCAGCATTTGCTGATTTTCTAGGTTTCCCTACAGCCACCTGTAAAGGCTTTATCAGCCTGACACATGCTCTTGGTGGCCTGTCACACAGCCTAAAGGGTGGATCCAGCCTCCCCCCAGACCAGAGTCACCAATTATACATTAGCAAGTGGCAACACTTCAAAGGACTGATCCTTATCTACTGTACTTGGGAGAGCCCCACAATCACCCCTGACAGGGAGGCCTACAGAACAGAACACAGCCAGGTAAGCAGAAGCATCACCCTTTCACACAGGGACAGGAACTGCCTCTCCCTGCCATCCCAGCAATCCTCAGGGCTCAGGAGGCACAAACAATTCTCCACCAAGAAAAACACAGCAGCCCCACCCACAGGTATATGTTGGCTATCTGAAGTTCTAGGGTGTGCACACAGTTCCTTGCTAGCTTCAGTGATGATTTGACAATTCAGCTGGCTTTAGTTCTATTGCCTGAGCTCTTAAACAGGAAAGACACCACCTGCTCTGCCTGCAAGAGGAACACCTCTGCAGTTTGCATTCCAACCACCTGGCCTTGTTTATTGAAGCAGCTGGTGCTCCTGAGCATCATGCGAAGTGAGAGAACTCTTATCCCTGAGAAATGTGAACTCCCCCAGGTTTCCACTGAAGTTCTGCACCTGAACAGTGAGCATCAGCCATCCTCCAGCTCAGTAAGGGGGGGTTATCACCACGTTTGGTGGCAGGAGGCTCAGCACATTGTGAAGAGTTCAGCACGGCTCCTGCCCTCAACCCTGGCAAAGGTTGTGCCACTCCAGCAGATGAACCACACAGGTTTTCACAGCTCGGCAAGGCAGTGAGGAGATGTTCTTTCATATGCACAATTTGTCACAGGCTCCGAAAGCAGCGCCTGGAAATTGTTTTGAAATTTACTCCATCACATTACACAACTTCTCTGGAAACTTAAATCGATTGGAAGCAGCACAGAGGAAGGGAGCACACAAGCACAAAGCTCCACGTAACAAAACAAAGGAGAAACCACAACAAAGAAGAATCCACCAAACCAAACACAAAAAAACCCCAAAACAACACACAAAAGTTTTCTTCTCCCTTATGAATTCTTAGCGCAGACATAAGTACCACTGAGTTCTGGCCTCAAATGAAAAACTGGCAAAATCCAGCAAGCAGCAGGATTGATAAGGACTGGATGGGTTTTTTAATGGTCAACAATGATACCCATACGTATCCTAATTCATACAAAAGCTATAAAAAATGTTATGTTATTATTAAAGCCTAGAAGGACATGATTTCTTGTGATCTGGCTCTTAGAACAATGTTCAGTGTCACAGGCACCTATAAGCATGTTTGGGGTCAGATCATCCAACTATCTACCCTTTCTTCTGAGCTGCTGTTTCTGGCCCCTTTCAGAGAAAGGTGTTTCTGGTTATGACCCCACAAACCAATTCCCAGCCAGCAGCAGTTTTCACTGTGTAACTTCTAATGAGGGTCTCCCAGCAAATTAGCATCTAAGTTGTGAATTAAGGACTGATTCTTTACCTTAGCATCTCTGTATATTTCTCAGGTCGAAACTGGCAACAAAAATTCCTGTTCACTTCAGCTATACGTTTTCAAATTTCCTGCCAGGATGCTTAACCCTCCAAAACCAAAACAGGCACTCTTCAGATTTTTTTTTGTTTACTGAATATAATTTGAGCTGAACACTGTGTATCGTTCCTGAAGTGACACTTATAATTAGCCTCTACCCTCAAAATGGGAACTGGAAGTGCTTTGATAAATGAATTGTAAAGGCCAGCCAGCTAGTTTCGTTGTGACTTGTGGAAACACATCTGTATCCTGTGCTGACACGCTATTTTTGTTTTGCTGCAAACCACACAAGTCTGCATCTAGACAGGACAACATGTTAGTCACCACCAGTGTCCTTACACAGCCTCTTTACAACCCTCACTTCCTCAAAGTGCCTTCCAAGGCACACTCTCACCTTTGCCAGGCTCCCAGTTTACCTGTTCCCAACTGTGGTTGGTCTGCTGGGATCACCTGTCAGACTCCAGTCTCTGTTTCACACACAGCCCCGTTTATCACCCTCGGTGGCCAAACCACTCATCAGGACAAGCAGGGGTCAGTGAGAGACTGAGCAAGCCTGGGGACCACCCCAGAAAGGCCCAGTCCTGCACAGTAACATTGCCTGGGAGCTGAAAGCAGGAGGCTGCTCTGGAATACCACACCCGACTACACCACGTTTGCTTTGGTCTGGATTTTCCTGATACCTTCTAAGTTCACATCCTGGCACGACTGACACGGATCTATTTTAGGATAGCTCATGTCAGGATGGCCAAGTATCCATTTCTTGGTGGGTGCCTGCAGTGTCACATGCCTAGTCCATGGTGCAGACAAGGGCATCTCCTTTGAAGGAGCAAGACTTGAAAGTAAGACCTGACACAACCCACATTCCTTTATAATCTGCACAACTCTGACAGAGGTAGGGCTGAGGTGGGCCATGTATAGGCAGTGGTGGCAGAAGCTGAGCAATCAGGCACAAAAGGTAAGCCTGCCCTCATTTTACCTACCCAAAGCACACCAAACAATCACCCAGCTATCTGTGCTGGGCTTGTTTTGCTTTAAACAGCTGTGGGTTAACTAAAGATCATGCTGTAGCTGTGTGCTAAATACTCCTCTTCTCTGAAAGTAGTAGTAAAAAAAAGGAGCAAGGAACAAGTCACAAAGTAAATCCAAGGGATGGTTGGAAAAGGAAGAACCCAGTCCTCTGTCCTGCTCGGTGCCTTTAGCACTGTTTCTCACTCTCCCAATCCTGCCACTCCTGTGGTGACAGGAGGAACACTGAGGGACACGTTGCTGCACCTCACCTCAAGATGAAAAGGTGCCAGGATGAACGACAGGATGGGGGGATGGGACACCAAAACAAGTGTACAAGCACCTCAAAAGTAACACAGTGCTGAAAATCAGCCAAAGTGAGGTTTTCAAGGAGAAATAGTGACCTACCTTTCTAACTCCTTTAAGAGGAGAGCTGGATTAGTGAAGAAGAGGGGAGCTGGGGGTGGGCTACAGCTTAACCTTTTTAAGACCCACAGCCCTATTCCATGCACCTTCCAAATACACAAACAAGGGAAATATTGTCCTGCTCTAACAACCGTAAGGTGGGTGCATGAAACAGCGCACTGAGAACTCCATTATCACTGGCTCATTGTCAAACAAGACAGATATCTGAAAAGAGGTACCCTGGGGGTCAGTCCTGAGCTTTAGTGTGTTTAGTACTTCCAGCTCTGTCTGCCTGTGACTCCTCCACACAGCCCCAAGCCCCTGTGACACAGCATGGCCTGCCAGGAAGGGGCCAACACCTTCTCTCTTTGAACATTCAGCATTTAAGTATCTGTTACGTATTAGAAATACCATAACAAGCAACAGACTGTATTGTTTAGGCACATTTCCACACCATCAGTTAATACCTTATTGCCACATTATTTAAAGCAGTCATTTCTTAGGTCAGGCCCAAATTCAGGCATTGACACTGAAGCTCTTCAGATGTCAGATCCCACCTGGCAAAGTGACAACAGTCAACTTCACTCCTTTCTGCTCAAAGCCAGGAAAAGAGGAAAGGCAAACAAAAACTCCCAAACACATGCTGATCAAGCAGCTGTGGACTATCAGGGCCTCCTGCAACCACTCCAGGTCTTTATTCTGTGGATACAAACCGAGGTGTGGATGTCTTTTAAAAAACACAATTTGCATTCATCTTTAAACAATGAAGAGCCACGTGCCCTACTCTTGATTCTGTTCCAACACGGGGAATCCAATTGCTTCAGGAAGGGTTAACAGCCTACAGTGCTAAGATTAGGAGGCATCTATCAGGACTAATGAGAAACCCTGATGCATATTCTCCCAATGATTTTACAGAAGTTTAACAATTTGATGTGACCCCTGTCTGGGAAACTTAAAAGATTTCCCACAGAAGTCTTTTGCTTGCAAGAGTCCACGATGCCATTCTACAAGAAAAGCTGCACGATCACAGAGACCATCACAGAAATATGGGAGGAAGTTCCAAATACCAAGGGCTGCACTAAACCTACTGAAATTCAGGAGACAAGAGGGGGTTAAGGTAAAGCCTGGCTGACTTAGAAAGGAGGAGTATTATCCCAGGAGCACACATCCACTGAGAGGAAAACCTGCACCCCCAAAGTGTGCACTGACAGGAGGGGATAAACGACGACTCACAAAGTTAAAATTTGGGCTGCAATTCCATACTGAAATACTTAAGCAAAGCTGTGGACAACAGGCAGGGCTACTTCACAAAAAGCTCTCTGCAGGGATGACTAAATTTTGCTGTCACATAGTTATCTGCTTACATCAGCAACATCTGATGCTCCTGATCCACTGCAGTTGTTCGCAGGCTTGAACCATGGGCAGTGGATGATTCAAAGGCAAGTTCTTCCTTTGTTTCAACTATCCCACTTTATAAATTAATTGTGTTTAATCATGTGATCAAAGCCAGACTTTCTGTGGCTGAAGAAAACCAGTGTAGTTCAGTTACTATATTTCACAGCTTATGCTATTCCAAAGTACTGAAACATTTAAAAGCAGATAACATGTTTCCAGTCTTGGGAGACCCACAGTCTGATTAAACCACACCCTTGAAATTAAAAGTACACAACAAACTAAACTTTGGCAGAGTTACACACAAACTGGATCTGCATTTCTTTGTCAAATATCCAGTGCTCTGCAGAAATGCAAAAATGCAGAAACGCCTGCACCCCCTGCTCAATTCGGTGCTTTTCCTTCATGTGACACCCATGGAACAGTGTTTGTTATCACAGTGAGAACATGACATGTCTCTGAGTCTCCATTTCAAGGACATTCTTCACGGTTTTGTACTTGCTTTAGCAGTCCTTGTGACTTTTGCTTGACTTTGTGTAAATGAAGTTGAGGTTACACGAGAATACTCCCTCTTGGTCAAGGACAGACAGAATTGTCAACATAAAATTACCCTCTAGTTCCAGAGAAAAGAGTATCTGCCAATTTTGCACTGGGCCAACTGTTGGGACACTGGGGTAAGGAGAAAAAACAAGCAAATTAGGACTGAAGTGAGCTCACAAGGAAAGTATTCTGCCCTGAGGGATGTTTACCTCCTAAATGTGGCTCACAGGCTCTTTTACAAATACTGCTCAGACTCTGCAAGAGAGAGGCACTGAGATTTTATGCAACAACCATTTCACTCTTGTGGATACACAAGTCCCTCTGTGTTGTTAAAACATATATTCAAGCATATAGTTCATCTGCAACCATTTACAAACACGTACATACAACAGAAAATTTAGAAACTAGCAGCTCCTTTTCTGTCTTGCACACATTTGTTTGCTTTTTAAAACTCTTACATATCTTTTTATCTAGTTTCAAGCATAGGGACAGTGCAGCTTTGCCAGGAGTGATTAGGAATGTTTCAAAGAAGGAGATTTATTTAAAAAGTAAGTTGTCATGAAAGTCTCTCTGCTCTTAGATGTCGCTGGTTTTGAATAAATTCTAGTTCTACAGCTAAAATCTACATGGTTAAAATCAGGAGTTTTGGACCAAGCACTGAGAACTATTTCAGCCCAGTTCAGGGAAAAATACACGTGTGCCAGCAAATAAAGGATTCTGTGTTGTTAACAGTATAGCAGCTAAAGTAGTAACAATCAGGTAAAAAGTCCAGGTTGCACTTATTTTAAGGAAAAATTTTTACTAACAACTTCATAGCATAGTTCTTCCAAGCTGACAGGGTGATTTGGGGTCGGGTGGGGATGTTGTTTTAAGACCCAAATACTCAGTGGCTCAAACTCTACTGGCCAAGGCAGCCACACTTTTCTGAACTGGACAAAGATACCACTGTAAACACAGATGACACATTTTCACCTTCCCACCAAACACAGGACAGTGTTTCTTACCTATTTGGTCCTCGGGAATCAGCGATTCGATTGGGGGATCAAGTTCGGAGCTTTGGGACAGGTAGTTCTTGACTTGGGTCATGAACTGACGAATTGTTTGCAGCATATCAGTGCTGGAAACGTGGCACTCCTTGTTTTCCTGGAGAAAGCTGACATAGTCCTGTACCAAGCATCCAAAATAAGTGCGTTTGTCCCGGGACATCTCCGCAATTTTCTTAATCATCCTCTTTTCGGGGGTCATGAAGGAACTGAAAACTCCACTGACTTTCCGCAGCTGAGATTTCACAATCTTGGGGAGAACAAAGGAACTGCTCCTTTTCTTCTTGGGCTTCAAGGGGGGTGCCATGCTCTCCTGGTCGCTCTCCCCCTCGAAGTCCTCCAGGCTGCTGTTGGTGTCCCCCTCGTAGCCGAAGAGCGGCATGCTCCGGTCGAAGTCCAGCGAGTCGGACGAGGAGGTGGAAATGCTCATGTCGCTCAGCCTCTGCCTGCCTCCATTCCACGGGACGTGTGACTCAGAGGTGGGAGCCGCCGTGTTTTTGGGAGCTGCCGGAGCCGGCTCGGGCGGGGTTTCACCTGGAGGCCCGGCCGCTGCTTCGGGCCCACGCGCCGGGCCGGGCCGAGCGGCCCTCGGGCCCCCTTCCCCCTCGGAGCACACAGCCTGCTTCTTCAGCCGAGGAGGCGGAATGGGGGCCGGCTTGCTCTGCGACGAATCCAAGCCTCTCTCTTTCTTATGGTTCGCTGTTCCTGGCATGCTCGCCTGCTTTATAGTCCTGGCAAGCTGCGGGCTCGTGAGGCTGCTATTAATAGCAGGGGGTGGCGGCCGGGGCGGGGGGGAGCGAGGCCTCGCCGTGCCATTCACGTCTGGAGCTCTGGGGCTCTGCCTTTTCAGGCTGCCACTGACATCCTGGCTGTGCACTTTCAAGAAGAGGGGATTGATGAAGCACAGCGCTCCGTTGGTCTGGCTGCACTCCAGCTCCGAGGGCGTCCTGGTCCGTATAGAATGCACTCCATTTATAAGGCAGAGCTGCCGAGAGCCTTTACGAGCACTGTCCAGAGGCACAGGCCTGCAGGGAGGTGAAGGATCCAGGGGGTTGCTGTTAGCCAGGGAGCTCCAAAAGTCTGAAAATCATCATTGCATTAACGTAAGAATGCAAAACAGCATGCAGATGCTCTGAGAACATTCAGCTCAACAATACCAGTTTAAAGTATTAAGAAATTCGGGCAAGCTTTTATTAATTCAAGGGGGGGGAAAAATTCCAAGTGAACCTCTTAAAGCACCACCAGACACAACTGCATGCTACATTCCTGGGACTGCTCTGACTCTTTTATAAATACCATGACCAATGCATAGCTTCCAAATGGCCCACTGAACTAAGCTTAAAATTAAACTGAGAATCAAAGAAAGGAATGGAGACTGCAACAGAGTACTTCTTACCAGCTTGAGACCAAAATGAACATAAACTACTTACCAGCATCTAACCCAGCAGAAATAAGGCAAGATTCACAGCTGGTACTAATAAGCTCACTTCATTGAAGACAACAGTTTAACTGATTTACACCAGATGAAGGCCATATATGGCAACTCAACAAAAATCCTGGTTGGTTTCTCTTCATAGTGACCCAACGAAACTGCCCATGAAAAGCCAGCTCACGTTTTGGTGGATGCACACATCACCTTCAGCTATGCAGACCAAGTGCTCACGTGTCTGAGAGCACTGGCCTGCAGCCCTGCCTTTGCCATGGGGACAGTTTGCTCAAGGTTACAGACACTCAACAGCCCAAAAACAGACCCGAGGTGCAGTCCCACACCAGCAGCATGGAAAACCTATTCTAAGCCAGCAAGTTTCAGCTGCAGCCTCCACAGTTGTCCCAGCAAAGCATCTGCATGTTTGTGCAACCGAGCCAGTGGCAAAGAGCATCAGCTCCTGAAGGTATGAAGATGGAAATCGGATGTGCCCCTGAGGACAGCAGTCCTGCTGAAATAAGGGAGGAACACCAGAGGAGGGAGATTCTGCTGAAATCTGCCAATCTTGGCATGGCCCCTTTCCCCTGTAGTGTCAAGATGCCTCATTTGAGGCCATTGAGCAGTGACACCCGGGCCCAGGGTCACGAGTGCCAAGCATCCACAACAGGCCCATGTCTTGCCTCCAGGGCAGAAGACAGGAAATGCCCCACGGTGACAGGCCACTGCCAGAGGTATACAGGCACAGGCATGTTTCTCTACACAGTCATGCAGTGTTGCTGCTTTTCCCAGCTTCCTGACTTCACATCCTGCCTGCAGATCTCTCAGCAGACTGGCCAGTGTGCCTGGCACGTGGGCTGCTGCAAACACACCTGGTGTAAGCACTGCTGCAGGTGACGCACAGGAGAGGCCCAGACAGCAATCTTATGTTCAGCACATGAAATCTTCCAGGTTGGCAACAGCCTTGAAATCTTTACCCCTTGATGTGGTTTGCTGGGCTACATGCTGCTGACCTGTCTTCTGCAGCTCTCCTCTGAGCCAACTGCATAACAGAGCTCTGGCAGGAGACACAACCCTCTGTGTTCACAGCACAGTGTTCTGTGCCTGAAGGAAAACTCACATTTAACAGGAAGGGCTGCTGAGAGTCCACAGCACTGAAGGGCTGACTTCCTGCTGTGCTCTTTCACACGTGGACACCTAAAACTCCATCAAAATCTCAACTTTGTTGCCTGGTTTTTGCTCATAGAAACCGTGGTCTTAATCTGGTGTATATTAGGTAATTGATCCCAAATACAGCAACCACACAGACACTGATCCATCCACCTCCTCCTCAGCTTTCAAATGTATTAGGCTAAATTAAAAACACACACAGTGCAGAAACTGTTCAAGGGCAAGACTAATTCTGCAGCAAGTAGGCCACAGTGGTCTGCAGTACCGAGGACAAAGACAGTGTGGTTAGTCTGGAGAACTTGATCAACACCACCATTATTATCCCCTCTGGAAAAATTCACCCAATGTTACCTTAAGGCTTCCTGTGTGACACTGGGAGACTGTCTTCATTACACTGTACCCCAGTCAGACCTTTTATTTTCTTTTTTCCATCTAAACACTGACCTCAACAGTACCATATTTGCCTCTACTCCCATGATAACCCATATTTTCATCTAATTACCTAAACTTGCAGATAAGCAGTGCAGAAGTAATTTATCTCCTCTCTAAAACAAACCCCTTAATTGCATTGCTACTGCAGCAAACCAAATGCACAGCAGTGCAATACATCCCAGTGTGTATGGCTCTGCTGTGAAGTCCCACCAAACACTAGTTCTAGAGATCCTCATGCTAACACTGATTTAGAGAGGATCCATTTCAAAATCCATGATGATTAAAAAATCTACTGGGACAAAGACTGCTGACAGCCAACCTTCCCTTCCTGGAGAAGGAAATGAGGCTATTCAGCACTTTGCAGGAGTTGCTCAATGATTCATCTGGGTGGTGCCCAAGTTTCAAACCCCGCCAGGCTTTGCATCTCCTGCGAGCTCGAGGAATGCTTCCCAAGGAGCCTGGACTTGGTGCAGCAGTCAGGCCATGCAAGGACATGTCCTTGCACTGTCTTGTGTTATTTCAAACATTTTCTGTCATGCACATGGATACATTCTGCAGGTGTACACTTCTTTTCTTAATTTGCCATTGCAATGAGCCACTGACCTCCAAAGTCACCATTTTAAGTTTGCAGGTCAATCTGAACAGAAGTTTTACTAACGGGGCCCTCGGTTCCTACACTGTCCTGGCAGCCCCAGTAAATTCCCAAGCCAGTGAGCCCACAGCCAACAGCAGGTTTTTGAGCAGAAGCTACATCAAACCTCTGTCTGGGGACTGCAAGATTGGCTTTGCCCAAGAGCTGCCCAGAGAGGGCAGAGAAGGAGGAAGAAAGAAACACCACTAACAAAAATACCACAGAAGGCACAGAGGGAAGAAGGAGCACCACTGTTTGGCCAGAACAAGGTTTGGTCTTCCCAAATAAGAGAAGGTCCTTTTTTACATGAAATCTGTAACACCACTAACCAATATGAACTACTTACTGACACAGATTACTTTTTCAAGCTTACAGGAGTGCTACAGGGGAGGACATCTCTGCAAAGAACTACTTACTCAGTCCAAGCTGAGCAATGTCTTCAAGTTCAGCTTCTGTCTTTGCTGCAGCAATTGCATGAGGCAACTTCAGTGTGAATGGAAGGACATCCCTGTTGTCAAAGAGAAAAACAATTATGGTTTTCACAAAAAAGTGCCCAGTTTTAAGAGCATTTGTTTTCAGCAGTGGCAGGGGATAATCTCTGATTATTTTAGCAAGAGCCTTAAACACACAGCACAGTTAAAACATTACCAACACCCTGGAGAGTGTTGTGAAGTGCAAATGACAGGCAAGTACCCAGGACTCTTGCCAGGGTTTCCAAAGAGCCAGCCAGTATTTTCTGCCTTTCCAGCAGAAGCTTTTACACCTGATCTTTTACAAGCATATCAGCGAGATGCAAAGGTATTCTCTGCCCTTAACACTTCAACAAAGCTTATTTTCTGAATATGCTGTTGACTGCTCTCCAAGTTGAATTCCAGTTTTCAGAATAAAAATTTAAATGAGTAGTTGTGCAACTGCTCTAAAAATTTCTAAGCTAGGATGCTTTGGTGCTACTCTGTTCTAGGCTGAAAACACACTTCATTTAGGAAAGCTTCTGTAATTTATTCTCATGTGTGGTTTCACTTCACTGCATACTAGGTGTTCAGGGGATGTTGTCAAAGGGAGATTCACGAAGGACAACATAAGCTGAAACCAGTGTAAAAGGCTTTTAGACAGAGATTTTAAGGGACAAACCCACTTAACCATATGTACATTGTACAATCACTCCCAGCAACCAATCCCACACCTCTTGCCTACCCAGCTGGTACCAACACACCCTCAAGCAGTGCAGGCTAAACTGCAAAACCTGGACTAGAAGTACCTACACAATTAAGACAAAATGAGAACGAATGGAGCACAGAAATCCTACATGCAACTAATGTCAGCATGAATTTTGGTTTTAAGGCTGTGAACGAGCCAACCACCTGCTGTAGCACAGACAGACAGCGAGTCTTTATCACATAAATATTCTCTATGTTGTACGTTAACTTGTTGGAAAAACAGGGTCTCAGAACACCACTCAAACTCAAATCAAGCATATCTGAACACACGTTCAACACTGCACCACAGAAAATCTAGAGTCTAGATCATCACCATGGTCTCAATTCAGAGATAGGTAAACTCTGACTCCTCATAAAAACTGGCTGTTTTTTCTCTTCATACTGCCTGGAAAACAAGTTTGGCAATCATCAACTGGAAAGCTGATGAGGCCACTTTGGTTGTTCCCAATTCAAATTCACGTGTCTCAGTTGTCATATTCTACAGTGCGATCTGGCATTTTTCCATTACGCTCCAAAAATTCTTTCAACTAGCAATTCCAAGAAAATTCAGATGAAGTTCAAGGTGGCCCCACCTGACAGCTGGGTGGGCAACACCACAGCAGCCTCCCAATAATCAGTACCAGGTAAGACAGAGACATTTGCTTCCATTACCTTCTAAGACTACCCAGGGATATTTGTTATTGGCAACATAAATATCAAGCTGAACCAAGTCTCCTTGAGACTCCCTCTTCTTCAAGAAAGTCCAGCAGACATAACTGAGAACATAACACCATCTTACCTGCTAATACAGTAGAAAGCAATGAGCCTGAATAAATCAGCAAAACTTATTCCAGACCCCTCCAAGGAAAATGCTGCAAAGAAAGGTACAAGAGAGGAAGAATCACACATTAATCCACCGTTTCTTAGCAAAGTTAAATAAAACACATTTCATATTTTTGCGTAAAGTTAATAAGTTTTCACCATTAAACTAGCTAAGTTTTCTTTGGTTAAGAAAAAACAACTCTGTGGAGGAGCACATGTCTCTGCTGAAGGCATTTTTAAGAACATACTGATAATCTTTGTGGACAGTTTGCTTTTGTATTCCAAGCACAAGATCTAGTTCCTGTGTAACATTAAGTGTGACTCCCAGACTCGGTGGGGAAAGCCAAAAGCCACGCAGCAGCTTTGGACACCTCAGCCAGAGCTCTCAGTGAGCAGCAAAGCCAGAATTTGGTCAGTACTCCATGCTGTACAGCAGCTCCTCCACACCAAGGTTCTACTGCTACTGACTGTAAAGCCTCCTCAGGAACCAGAGGAAAATTTAAGCCAGGTACCAACCTTTGCTCCAACTTCTACACCAAAATGCAGGTCAATCTGGTCATTTATGTGTCCAGAAAAACGGATTTCTTTAGGAGAGACACTAACAATGCAGACAATAAGCACACAGGGGACTTGGGAGTGGGATCAGAGAAGGAAGGTGTTCAGATCCCCAACTAGAGTTAAAACCTCAGCTGTGATGGGTGAGTAAAACTTTCAGTAGATACTTCCCCCTTGTGGAAAAATTTTATTCATAAATGACAATATATTATTATTTCATTTTCTAGATGGGAGAGAGGGAATTCATTAGTATAACAAGCCCACAAACAGCCTTAGATCACACTTAGATCAACTATTGCTGATAACTTTCTCCTCTCTTTGCTCGCCTTGCTTATAACTGGAACCAAAACCAGACCCACAGAACTGACGTTTTGTTGCTGGGAGCAGGGAAGGGAGAGATGAAAAAGGAAAAAACTCAACTAAAATTTTGTCAGTTTACTAAGAGAAATAGAACTACAGACCCCCTGTTTCAGGGAAGTTTAACTGAAATTGCTGCCAATTTTCTCCAGTTTTCACTTTCTTGTTAAAATGAAACCCTTGTTCCACTTGCAGTTTCTGCACCACATATGCTCACCAGCTGCAGCTTCCTTTTCTCATTCCTAAACCTCAAACATATTTTTCACACCCTCCCTCTAAAGATATGAGGGTATTATTGATTCAAAACCATTTGGAGTGCTAACATTTACTCATTTCCACTAAAAAAGACATATATAGATGGAATCAAAAAAGAGAAACATTGAGATCTTGCAACAGAAACAGCTGGATGGATTTTAACCCTTTGAAAACATTACATTAAAAACAAAGCAAGCAAACAACAAAACACAAACAAAACAGACCACCCCACCCCCAAAATTATAGATACAGAGAGCTTGTGACAAAGTTGCATCCAAGGACAGTCCCCTGAGTACAAGAAAATGCAAGTTTTTAGAGAGGATAACTACCCATAAAAATGAATGAATCCTGGATGCAGCAAGCTATGCAATGGAAACATCGTACAGGGAAAGGTATGGAACACACAGCTGAAGAGTATGGAACTCACAACTTACTGTATGTACTCTCTTTGATGGCAAACTCTTTCAGGCAGGCCCCACAGTCGCCGGGCAGACGCAGAGAGATGACTTTCTTCTGCAGCCTGGCAGATTTCCTAACCAGAAATGTCTGTGGTGCAGAAGGCAAAAGGACACGGTTTCAGCTTCATCACAGATGCTGTTACAGAGACAGATCACGGACAAAAGGAACCAGAACAACCTCATGATGTCTGATCCGTGTAAAACACAAGGGAATTTCACTTGGGTGTTACTGTGCCAGGCCCAACACCTGAGTGTGACAGGGCAGCAGAACACCCAGAAAAACCAGCTCCTCCTTGGATATCAGAGGCACGACACCCAGTCCACTGTGCTCTTCTCTGAGCTCTCCAGCTGGACACACAACAAAGCCCAAGGCTTGCTTTTTAGGGGTTTGTTTAGGGTTTGGATTGATCTTTTTTTCCCCCCCCCACTCATCAAAGAAATGGCAGTGTAACCTCTTACCCCAGGAGGCTGGGCCTGAAGGATTTCCATGGCTTCAGCATCGCTCAGCCCAAGCTGCAGCCACACAGGGTGAGTGTGGAGGAGCTTGTCCAATATGCTCAGCTTGTTGGACAGGCTGTCATAGCCAGAGTCCCGGGGGCAGCTTTTCACATCATTCTTCTCAGGAGAGACATTATCCATGTCCTTTATTAGACTGTGGAAAATTGAAAGAAAAATTAATTAGATATGCTAACCTCCTATGAACAATCCTTCAGTTCAGCAAACTGAATTACTGCAGATCTAATGGCACTGCTGGCACTCTAGACTGGTATTTCTCCTACTCAGAGTTCTTATATATACACAAAAATTCTCTTTATAGGTTATCAATTCAAAGCCAACTTTAAGATAAGCCTTGGCATTCTTCTCTGAGGTTGCAGAAATTCAGCAATCACTTCAGATACAGTTGTATGTGCACATGTGATTGCCTGAACATTGCACTCACCTTCTTTGCTATGCTAACATTTGGAAAAACTTCTCTTTGAGGGCATTTATGCAAATCCCCCAAATAACCCTCCCTAAGGCACAGTTTCATTAAGAAATTGTTGTAAGTGGCAGTTACTTTTTATGGTCTTCGTGCTAAAATTTGTAAATATTTACATTTTGCCATGGAAGGTCCTTACCTCACATTTTAGAAATACACTTCCCAGGACCAGAAACAAGTAAGGAAGTTTATTTATGCTCCTAATTACTTTGGCTCTGGATTGACCCCGTAAGAAATAAAGGCTAAGCTAAGTGTGAACGTGGCAAAGGTTAAAATTTATTTGCAGCAGGGCATCTAAAGTTACTGCTGCACTCAGTAATGAAGTACATTTCTTCAAGGCTACAGATACTTGTTATTAAGAATCCAAATAAACAGAATACTTTGAGAACTCCTTTTATTGTGTAAAGCTTCATCATCATTCATGTAGCACAGTACACCCAATAAAATTGCAGGTGTGTTGCTGGTTCAAATTCCTCATTTCTGAGCTAGAAACACAGCCTGTGATTCTCCCAGTGCTGGAGACCACTACAGCACAGTTACTTGGTAACGCCTTCCTGAGGACAATATTTAGAAATGGCCCAAACCCAGCCTGCAAGCCCGAAGGTGACTCCCTGAGCTGCCAGGCAGAGGGGACGTGTGGGCCCTCCAGACCTTTGCTGACAGCAGGAGAGGCCCTGCACAGCAGAGGGCAATGCAGCTCCATTTCCCCACTGCACACTGCTTGCAGCTCTTCTGAACCTCCTGCTTTGGGCAGGCCCTAAGCACCACTGACAGCATTTACCATTGCATTATGCCAGCTGCTGCACAGTTCACAGAGTTCACAAGCACAGGAACACCGAATACTTAAAAAGAAACAAACAAAAAACCCCCACCCAGCCCCCCAAAAAACCTCTAAAAACCATACCAAAGAAACCAAACCAAATTAAACCCTACCAGCTGAACAAGAAAAAACCCCAAACCACCAGACTGCTTCCTTCTAGCTTTGGTCAGCAACTTGCAGCATCTCTGGATAGGGCTAGAAAGGAAAGTAAATGGGGTGGAGAACTTTCACTGTATTATCAGATGAGAACGGGGACAATCACTTGATTTTTCATTACCTGGATCAATTACCACCACCAGCCTCTGCCTCCCTTTCTTTTGTCCTTTCTGTTTGCTTATTTATGGTGTGATGCTGCCCAGATCTGCAAGGTGTCTAAAATGCAACCATCTTCCCCAGCCCACAAGAGTCAGAAGCTTTTAGTAACTGCCAAGGGGCACAAAATACACAGGAACACCCTGTGTGCAGAAGGGAAGTATTGCTTACATCAGTCATGACAGGGCTCTGAAACCTTCCCAGCAGGAATCCTGGGCTGCCCTTGCAACAAGAACCTCCTGTCATAATGTGTGAATCTGCACAGAAGTCAGATCATGAACCACAGAAGTGTTCTCACGAGCTGTACCTCCAGGAAATATTGCTCAGACACTTCCCACTCACCCTCAGTGCCAGTCAGCTGCTTCACAAACTGAAGGGAGCTGTGGCAAAGTGCAAGTTACACACCAACATTGGCTGCAAGCTTCACTGGATAGAAATGATTTCCATTCCTCGGTCAGGAGGTGAAAACAAAACATGCTGCAGAGGGAATATGTCCAAGAGGGAGAAGTTTTTTGCATCCTGAAGAAAGCTACAGCACATGCAAAAGAAGATGCCAACTGGTATAACATAGAATGCCTGGCATTGCTTGCTACACAGAGCCACCTAAAGCTGGCAAGAGTTTTCACAGATACACAGGGCCACAATGTCTGGCTCAGTGTTCTCACACCCCCCCTAAACCACTATAAATCAGAAGATTAATCTGAATAGGGAGTTGTCAGGGTTTTGGAACCCCCAGGTACCTACATGCACAATCCCTTCCACATGCCGAGACCCAAGGAGGAAACTCTCTGACCCAGATGCACAGGCACCTCCTTGTTGCAGCTGCTTCTGCCCCCTCAAGAAATAAGCCAAAGATTATGGGTATCTGATCAAGAGAAGAATTTCTGCCACTCCTAAACAGTGCTGGTTCAAACAACCCTAATGCAACCCAGCTAGATCAGCACTGGTAGGTTATTGCAATCTGCAGGGTGGTAAACAGGAACAAGCAACACTTAACAAAAATTATTTCCTATTCCCAAATAAAAAAGAAGGAGGCAGAGAGAAAGATCTTTCCAGAGTTCACCAGGTCTGAGCACAGCTTAGAAAAACCACGTGTGACAAACCACACACAACCTCTGAGCAGCCCCCTCCCCAGGCCCAGGAGCAAGCGCAGTGAAAAGCCCACGGGTGTGTTCTGACAGCCTGTTACAGCACTCTTGGCACTCCTGAGCATCTTGCTCCCAAGTCTGGTTTTTATTCTTAAATTCTTTTTAATTAATGATCTGGGCACTAGACATACAGTCAAACCCTGACACATGGGAGTTCTTGAAATCTGTCTTGTCTTAGACTGTAAAATTATTTGAGACTGGGATGTGTGTGTAACTACTTTGGAAACAATTGCATGGAAAGAACAACCATTTGAATTCCTCATGAGCCACTGATTAATTTAAGTGTACAGAATAAGAAGCTGCTGTAACCTAAATGCTAGCAAAACATGCTGTATATTATGCAACAACTAAATTCCTCTCCTGCTTTCTTTTTGGGTTGGGGGAAGGTTGGTTGGTTTGTGTTATTTGTTTGGGGTTTTTTTACAGAAACTCCTGGTAAAAGCCAATCTGACTAGGTCACACTAAACTCAAAATGGAAACCCAAATCACGGATGGTCTGCTCTGCTGCAGGGGTGCTACGCTGGTTCCTCTTCAGTGGGAAAGCAGTTTCAACACAGCTCACAATGAATTGAAGAAAACACATGATTCACGCAAGTTTCCTTAGACTTGAGAAAACCCACAAGCATGTGGGAAGTAAACAGAGGTAAGTGCCAAGGTAAACAGTGCTGTGCTGCATCCTGAGCAGACTCAGCTCGCAGCAAAAAACACAGGGAACAGGTTGAAGCCTGTAGCCAGGATGAACCTTGCTCACGATGTGAGTCTTGCTCCAGTCCCACCAAAGTTAACCCAGTTGGACTCCCCACTGCTGAAGTGCCTGCACTTGTGTAAATTCTGCAGTCTAACAGGTCTTAACCACACCAGTCCGGCCTACACAGTCATTCTGAGCATCAAGTGGGGGGGGTCTAAAGCCTCTGCTGAACATCACCTGCCCTCCTCAGCAGCCGGCCTGGCGTTTCCTCCTGCATCCCAGCACAGCTGAAAGCTGAGGGGAGAAAGGATGTTGGATCCTTGCCTACCTGTCCACAGTAAGAGAAGCAATTCACTGTGCAGGACACAGGAGACACTGTAGTGTATAACTGCTGTGCAAAGGACACAGGTGTGAGGGCCGGGCAGTGAGGGAGGGAGGGAGCAAAGCTCTGCCCTTCTTTCTGTCACGGTAACAGAGCAGGAAGGGAATCAGCTGCTGCAGCTGCCACACCACCAAAGCATCCCTGTACCCCTTCACAGTGTGAGCATCCCCCTTAAAACACAGCTTGGCAAGTCTTTCTTGTTGTCTGGCTTTTACATGCTTACAAGCTGAAGTTGTGGATCCTCAAATCACTCTCGTTATTACTTGGGCCATATACGCTAAAAGGGGAGATAAGCCCAAAACAGAACTGTGGGGAGGAGCATAAATCTGAAAGTTGCCACATAACCACAAAAAAACCCACACCACAACACTGAGGTTGCAGGCACACAGTTTCATGCAGTTATTTTTTTGAACCCAGAGCTCTCACAATCGCTGCCTTTGTAAAACCACCCTGTGTGTCTGTGGATACCTGGTAAGGTGAAAAAACGAGTCAGAAGAAATTTAGCTTGCATTTCTCTGGATGCAAATCCAAAGGTCATATCAAGAGACCAGCTTCTGAACAGCAGAGCACACAATAACAAGAGCAAACTACATTAATTACCAAGTTTTGAATTAACTACAAAGAAATAAAGTTATGACAAAACACAGCCTTGCAAAGTGTCTAGTTTAAACAAGAGCTCTGGAAAACTCTGGTTGAAATTACTGTAACCTTGCTCTGTAGCTCTATAGAAACACAACTGGGCACAACTAAACTATAAAGCTTTGATACAGGTTCTTCCTTACATAGAAGCACGCAGTGCAGAATTACCCAGTCATAGAAAATTTGACATTAGCTCCCTTATTCAGATTTCATATTTTACATTTATCATCTCAAAGTGACAGAAAAGAATGATTTTTTTTTTGGTGGCTATTATTTATTTCAGTATGAAATTGACTTCAGGTACGTAGTCCTGGAAATTGCATTATTCACTTTTTTATGTTAGCTTTATTTACATGTTTTTATCATTTTGCACTCAAGATTAACAAATTCAGCTTAAATTTGTTAAATTTAAACAAATTAAATTTAAAAATCAGTAAAAAAGTTGACTGTTTCCAGTCAAGTGCTTCCACCAAGATTTTACCAGTAGATCTTAGCCTTTCATGCACATGGGTGTTCTCAAAGATACAATAAGCCTTTCCTAAAAGGAAAATTAGCTGATGATCGCTGAAATTAATTAGCTGAGCCCACCAAAATGGAGAAAGTATCCTTTCTGCCACTGTAAGAGAACTGTACTCTCAAAAGCTTTAAAACCTGAATAATGTGCAACCAGGGCCACAGCCAAGGACTTTAATTAGGTCACCTGCTCTTTACCACTTGGGCAACAATGTTTTATGTCAATAATTTACATATACCTTGTAGTAAGTTCTAGCAGATTTCAACAGCATTCACAGAAAGAAAAAAAGCTAAAAAACTTGGATGGAATTCTAAATTACAAACAATTACTCACTTTATTACTCACTGCTGGAAGAACAAAGCCCAGCAGCCCCAGAGCTGGCCCAGACCGTGCAATCAGATCAAACACAACACCTACACTGGTTGCTCTCCTCTTGCAACAAATATTCCAGATAAGGATACATTTTTGTACTTTCATTAAAACAATTAATTAAAATATTGATTATCCTCCAGATGCCAATTTAACAGATGTCACCAGTCAAGCACTTCAGCCACAGCAAATCCAAGATGCTGAGGTCCCACCCTGCCCACTTAGAGGTACGAGTTTACCATTACAAATTTTCACATCTACGTGGTATGATCAGTTTTAAAAAGCCAGAAATTTCATCTGCACTGTAATATGTATCTCAAATCATCTTAAGGAAATGCTTTATTTTTTTTTACGTGCAAGTTACTCATATATAAATTAAACACATATCCCACATATGTATTAGCTCCTAACAATCAATATTTTACTTTCTAACCCAGGAACATAAATAAATCATATATTACGGTATGTTGGATCTTCACAGAGCCACTTGAAGCTCTGCACATTTGGTCTTTACAGCGGGAAAGCAAAGCTCTGCCACAGACAATGGGAATGATGTTAGGAGTTTCCTGCTTTAGACATTCATCCCTATCCAAGGTTTAACAAGGAAGTTGAAGTGAAGCTCAGTTGCTATGAGAAGATATTAAGGCAAATACACAGAAAACTGAATCTCTGGGCACTCCTGCACAAAGGCAAATTCCTTGGATCAGGAGCAAGATCACCCACACCCCCTGTGCTGCTGGGAAGGAAAGTGGAAGGACAGAAGCCACCCAAGAAGACAGTGCAATGAAAACATTCCTGCCACAGCAGACCTCCAGGAACCATGAAAAGAAACATTTTAATCACCTTCGCAAATCAGCAGGTTCATCTTCCACTGGGAGGTCTGTCTGTACCATCTCCTGTTTCAGTTCTCCGATTTCTGAGGCAATTGTGTCAATGAGCTAGAAAGGGACAAAAATAGGATGACATCAAGTGAGTGGAAGAGGCGTGGAAAAGGAGCCCGGGCAAGTTTAGTCACCAGAGATTACAAACTGGGGTTTTTTTTGCAAAATCGCATCCTATTTGGACTTCCCCTTGCAAAGGAAAAAGTAAGGGTTGGGGCCACTTACAATGGTTCTCAGAGGAAGAATAATTCCTGTTTTGTGCCAGCACAACACCTTCCAGGTTGGCTAGCCTTTTTATTTAAATGTATTCAATTTGCAGCCTCTGCATACTGTACAACAGCTTACAAGAACTAAATTATTCAACTATTTGTAGCATTTACTTTCTCAAATAAAAAGGAAAAATATACTTAGAACAGTTCCATCTGCAGGAGTTCGATTGCAGAAGGGGCACTAAGCCAGCATGATGAGACCATGGAGGATGAAAAGCAGTGAAGCAAGAAAGGAATGAGGAGCTGCTTTTCACGTTAGGTTTTGGATTCCACTGGAACAGAACAATTCAGTTAAAAGGAACTGCCTTGGAACACTTCAGCTGAGCAGCGTTTTCAAAGAACTCTGGGCATCATTTCCCTGTACTGTTTGACTGGAAGTTTTCCTCCACCTCAGGAATTCCCTCTCTCCTTTGCTGTGCAGCATTATTCCAATCAATTTAAAAGAAGTTTTAGTCTCTGCTTACAACTGGCCAGCCTGAAGTGAGAGTGCCTTACCATTATCCAACCCCGTTTCTGTCAGAGCCCCCAGACATTCTGTACCACGGGCACTGCAAACACCTTCCACCTTAAACAGCCCTGAGTCACTGCAGCCAGATGTGAGCAATGCCTTCCAAGCATGGGAAAGGGAAGAACTTGAGCAGCAGCATCTTTATCTACTCTTGCAATCCTCTGACAAGCAATACAGCTGTTTTATGGGTTTACCTTTAAATAAATTTTTTTATCAGGTGGATTGCTGTTTGGTTTTTAAAGAAAAAGAGAGCAATTAATTTATGCCAAGTCTTTGGCTGCAAACCCAAACCACAGCTGATGTTCCTAGCCAGTATTTCTGTACAGTAATCCTTCTGGATCTGTAAAGGAGAGATCCATTAGTGCAGATCAATACTCAATTAATTCACAGCAGAGAAGCTGACTACAAATGTAAAAAGACAAAAAAATTGTATTTCTCTTCCAAGCTGTGACTAAGCAGCAGAAGTGGAAGGACCAGCTCTATTAGGCCTAAATCTCTGATGAGCAATCCATTACAGCCTCTAGATACAATAATCACTCAAACTATCTCAGTAGCTGTTACCTTCTGAATGTACTTTCTCAGAGCTAGTTTTAAATAACTAATGGCATTCTAAAATACTGGCACCATGGATTTCTTGTTATTTGTATGAAAACATACAAAATGCGAGTCAAAAAATGCTAATAAATACACATTCAGAAAGAAATACACAATTTGTCACTTTTAAATAAAGAATGTGACAAGTATTTGGAAAAAATAAAAGCACATTTTTGTGAAAAAAATCCATTCCAGGTTTAATTACAGCCTATCAATTACTTATATTAGGATTTCCTATCCCTGGATTAAAATCCCATTTCATAGCTGATGGCAGAACACAAAGCAAAGGGGCTTTATTTATTAAAAAGAACTTGTTCCAATGTCAAAACACAAGCAAAAACTATTCAGTCTTGGGTACCTGCTAAATTTCCCCAGCCTTCATTCCTCTGAGGTTTGCTAAGTGCAGTGAGGCAGTGGGACAACCACACCAGTTGTTACTGCTAAATCAGACACTGCTGATGCAATCCTCACTCTGCCTCTGCAGCTTTTGGAGCCTTCTTCCCTTTCTGGTTCTGCTGAAGCTTTTCATTTCAGAGCTTTAAAACACCTTGTAACTGCTCCAATCATTGAAAGGGATGACTTGCTCTGTCGCCATCTGGCTGTAAACTCACTTAACTGGGTTAATGGGCTTTGAGCAGAGCTGCAAAAAACCCCAAACCCTCCCAAAAAACACCAACCAACCAAAATAAAAAAAAACAAACCATCTCCCTCCCAGAAAACAGAATCTCTGGGCACTACAGCAAAGAACTCTAATCCAAACTGTACTAAGGGTAATCTGAACACTTTTTAATTTGTATGCCTGCCTTGAAGAGGAATTATCATTCCTGAGGGGAATTTTTCCACGTTCAGCAATTTCACTTTATCTAAAGAGAGCTTAAAATGGCACATTTCAAGGAGCCTTATGCTCACATTCTATTCCACAGGTCAAATTTCTGGGCTATACCACACATCCTCCAGGACAAGGCAGTCCTTCCTCAGTCTATGAGCAGTCAGTGCATCCTGGACAAGGAAACCAGGTGAAGTGTGGCCTCAAACCCAACAGAACCCACTCTGCAACCCAAAGTGACTTATCACCTACCACCCTGCACCTCACCTCAAATAAAACATTCATCTTTAGGAATAACCCCCTGGTTTTTTCTAAAATAAACCACCAATGTTTTCTGCAAATTGCAACTGATTTTCCTTAAATTTCCTTTATGGTAAAAAAAGTTACTCTCAATTTAAAAAAAAAAAAAGAAAAAAGGTCTTTTGGAGTTGAATCATTTGGGTATTCTTGCAGCTAACTGACACATACTGTCACAACAGCACCTGACAGATCATTTTCTGTCAAATAACACGGGGTGCACTCATGATTTTATGACATCACCTCCCAAGTATTCAGGATCAGTGAAATGCCTGGTGATTCTGCAGCACCTGTGATGCACATGATGAGCATCACACAAGGTGAGCTGTTAATAACACGTTTCTGCAAAATGCAGGAGGAATCCTGGCTATGGACTATTATTAGCTTCACCCCTGAGAAAACAAGCAGCAGCAAAGGGCTCTCTGCCTCTTTAAGTGCAATTAGAATTCCTGAAACAGATTTCTCTGTTTGCAAAGAGTGTGATACCTATTTGGCTGGAAATAATTGGAAAACTCACCCATTTGTTTCAATAGACTGGAAATCAAGATGGTAAGAGGCAGTTTCCAAAGGAAAGTACAACTGAAGTGGATGGATGCATTTGCCAGGGGCCACTGTTAATGTAAAATAGCATACATGAACCCAAAGACTTAAAAAGTAATCAGGAGAAACATGCTGCAGCCTATTTAGGACTCTGAAATAGATATTACCCTGCTACACTACAGAAAGAGGAGGTTTACTTGAAAAGAAATGCGTTTGGAAGTATGACATCTTCTCAGGGGTTAATTATTTAACATTTAAAAAAACCCCAAAATTAAAATGAGACCTTACATAACATGATAAAATAGCCATTTTTGAGTCTAATGATTTCCCTTTGGAATTTATTTCTGATAAAGCACTGCTCCATAGGTTAAAAAGAAACTACAATGTAAGCATTGTAAACCCAAAGAATAATTCTGACTCACACAGCAGCCCAGTACAGTATTCCCCAAGCAAACTCTCCTAAACATTGGATTGCCAAATACCACGGACTGTTTACATGCCTAATACCCACAAGAGAAATAATGAAATGCAAACATCTCACACCACAACATTTCCTTTCATGATGTGCCACACTCTGCATATTGTCAATTGATTCTTGGTTCAGTGAGACTGAGCTCAGCTTTTGGAAGCTGGGGGGTGACACTCCTACACCCAGACCACAAATGTGGCACTCCAGCAGCCCACAGGCCAGTTTTGGTTCCCATCTGTCAGGAGTCACATAAGCAGCAAAAGCAAGAGCAGGTGTGTTCACCAGGAACAACCCAGGGGCCACAGGCACCTTTGAGAAGCTGCTCTGCCCACACACACATCACTGCTGGGCTCAGGGAAGGCACAGCCAGGCACAGCCGGTGCCTCTCCCAGCACAGCCTAACTAGAGGTCTTCTTACTCACTCAACTGATGAAGAGCTTCCTGTTCCCAAGAGGGAGACAGGTGGCTTTGATTTGATGTCTGTCTCAGGACATTTTTAGAAAGAAACTGCACGACAACTGAATTCCTGTTTTTTGTGTCGAAAGGCCAATAAGGCTGTAAGGGAACTAACAAAACTGCCAGCTCTGGCAGCCAAGGAGGAGCCAGCCCAGCAGAGCACTGCAGAATGTTTCCAAGCCCTGAGATTTACAACAGCCAGAGAGGAAAAGGTAAGATCAGTGCTGCTAATCTGGCAAGGCAGCCCGGGCTGAAGACAGCGAGATCAGGATCAGCCCGGACAAACGAGCCTCGCCGCTCACCACCCCCCTTCCTGCCAGCATCTCATTCTTCATTCTTTCTGCAGACCTGCATCCTCTTTGGCACCACAGCTTTTCCTTCCTGTTTTGATAAGCAGAACGCAGCAGCCCTGACAGAGCACCCTGTGTGCCGAGGCGGCCCAGTGCCAGGGATGAGCCCGGCTGGGAACGCTGTTCCTGGGCTCGTGCGAACGGCTCAGTACAATCCAGTGTTTTGATACACGGCTGCAAATTCTGGTTATTTTGTGCAGTGAGCTGGGAATTCTAAGGGCCATTGACATAGTTCACTGTCTTATTCATCAGTAAGCAACAAAGTTTTACGCTATGCTTGGTTTTGGAACAGAAAAGCTTTATTGGCATAAAACCTCCGATGCCAGCTCAGTAAAGACTGGACCATCTTCACGAGGAGGATGTTTCAGCAAAGAGGACATTTCTCAGAGACACATATATTCGGTTCCTTGCTCTACTGCACACTCCCTCTGTAACCACTGGCAGGCTGTGCAGCCCCAGAATCACCCAAGACTAACTCCATCTTTGCTTCATTTTTACTACTTGCTGGCCCTAAGCTTCATCCATTGTGAGGCACAAAGAGTTCACAGAACTTAGCCTGTAAAACTACAGACCTCTGCTCTGTGCAAAATGGGGACAATACTGTTCTCCTTGTGTACCAACAGTCAAAGGAATGTCCGTGAAAAAATTAAAAGATGGCAAGAAACTACAGCAACGAGAACTACTTAAGAACCAGAAAAAAAACCATAATGTTGGAATTTCCCACTGGTATTTGTCAGTGATTTTTCAGGGAAACGTTGCTGAGAATAGTAAAATAGTTTTTTATGGGGATTTAAGTGCCCTGAGAATCTGCATGCCAGCATGGTAAAGGTTTCTTAGGCAACTGCAAAGCCAAAGCACAGCACGGGAGCCACGTGCAGAAGTAACTACACAGTCTGTGCGTGGGAGGGGAGCTTTCCAAACTGCAGATCACCATGGGTAAAACCCCACAGCACAATCACCAGGGCTCCTAAACACACAGACAAGGCAAACTGAAATAATGCAAACTGAAAAAATCTGACGTGCCAAGTATTTAGTTTGCTCACCCTTTTAGCTGCAGCAAATACAACAGTTGTCACAATTTTATTTACGTGGGGGAGCTAATTTCACAGCCAGCCTGTCCTCAGGAAAATTTAGGGCAACCTTAGTTTCTTAATTGACAATGTTTCTTACAGCCTTAAGAATCCCAAGTCTAGAAATAGCTCAGGCAGACTGCAGACTAATCATCCTGAGTAACTACAACCACATCATCATGAACAAAACAGCTGTTCCAGCACCTATTTTCCACACAAGAATTAGGAGATAGCAAAGGACTGCAGGACATGGACACTTGCTTACAGTCCCATCTGACACAAGGATTCCTTCAGCACACACCTAAGTGACCACCTAGAAATATTCCTCAGAACTGAGGCAGTTTCTTGCTATGGTTTGAAAAATACAGCTTTCCTCCCTAAATGGCTGTGGACTGCCATGAACAAGGTTGATGTTTGTGCTCCTGAGATGAGATGTAGCTGAAGTGTGTTGCAAAACCTGAGAAGTGGTTCCTGTCCCTGGAACACCCCGTTAATAGCTGACCACACGAAGCCCTGGGCAGCAAAAGAAGGGTATTTCTGTCCCAGAGGAAGAGAAGGAATGCAAACTGACGTGCAGAGATGGCAGCAAGTGTTGCACTTTGACTGGCAGAAGCTGCAGCAGCTGCAGCAAGCAGTGAATATTCCAAGGGATGTGATCACAGTAAGTTAATTCAGTGCTCAGGAACACCCACAAAGTTTGATTGCTCCTTCAAGCAAAGCCTTGCCCAGCAGGACAGACACTGGGACTCTGGCACTGGCCAGAAAGATACACCCTTTTCCTGGGCAGTGGCAGGACCCCACAGTTTGACAGGTCAGCATCCTTTCCATCCAGAGGCACTGCCTGGACACTGTTTTCCCTGCCCTGCTTTCTAGAAGCACATGGTGTTCCCAGCTGTACTCACACCGTGCACATGAAGGCTCTGACAACTGCACTTCAGATCAATTAACCCCTTTCACTGGAAGAAAATCTTCCTTGCAGTGTTCTCTACAATGAAAGTCAGCAAATCTTCCTTGCAGTGTTCTCTGCCATTAAACTCAGCACTGCCTCCAGACCTCCTCACTGCACATAAATACAGCAGTTAATGGGACTCGGTTGTGCTTTGAAAACTGCACTGGTAACTCCCACTGCACCTCAGCTTTTCGGGATGCCAAGTTTTCCCAAAATAGGCAAGGAAATTGAAACCAACTTTCAGTCCAATAATGGAAATCACAAACCTGTACCACAACTTTAAATGACACAAACCCACCTTATGGAAGCTCTTAACAATTTTATTCCTGTGCATAATAAAGCTTATGTTCTCAGCACTAGTGGCAAAGAAAGCCACCAGCTATTTTACACCAAATATTCTACTCAGTGTACAGGAAAACAATATACACATGAAATAACTGGGGGTAAGGTAGCCACAAACACCACCTGTAAAAAGAGATGCTCAAGAAGCACTCCCCATTTTACAGAAAAGGCTTGCTACATATCACAGAGAGCACTGAACATTCTGCAGCACCCATTTCACACTAACCCATGTACTTTAAGTTCTGTATAAATATCCCATTTACCTTAAAGAAACTTCCTCTTTTGTCCAGACAACAGGTTTTCATTGTCAAAGACGACATCTTCCCTGAGAAGACTCCACTGTATGCTTTGAACTCCTAAAAGCAGAGACATTTTTTAATGGTTAGTCCAGTCTGTAGGAAATTCCTCTGCATTTCTAAGCCACAGAAACAGTCACAACAAGCCTCCTGCCAAATCCCTTTCCGTCAACAACACTGTGCCATTTATTTCCTACCAGAGTCCTTACGTATCCCTTCAGTCTATTATTTTTCCATAAATTGCTTCAAAAAAACAGGGCTACTCAGAGTTCAATGTTTCTCCCTTCTCTTCACAGCTGATCCTGTAGCTGTGAGTAGATTTTAATGTGCTCATTAAAAAAGAATGCTAAAACATAATGATTGCTTTCTTTGTTTGCTTGACCTCAGCCCGCAGTACAAACAGAACAAAATGTTAGATGTCACTACAAGCTGCTCTCAAATATTACAGTATTAATGGGATTTACCGGGGGGAGGGAAACAATTTAAAATCACCCACAAGGGAGAAAACACAGTAGCATTAAAGTAAAAACTGATGAAGGAAAAAAAAAGCCCGAGCACCCCCCAAAAATGCTGCTTCAAGTTCCTAAAATGCCACTGAGTCACATCCAAGCGAGGAGATGAAGATGCAGTTAGGAAGAAGCTGCATTTTCCACTCTCAGGTAAACTTAATGAACGGTTTAACACCCAGGAGAATAAACTAATGCATCACTAGAACATTCCCACAGAAGGAGGAATATCATCGGGGTCATCTCCAGCTGCAAGTAGAGTAGGACAGTTCCTCTAAAGTCACAACCAGTCCACACCAGTAATTTGTGAACAAACTTCTGAACTAAACAGGAATCAGTTCCTTGGCTAAAAAGTCCTTCTAGGATTTTTAAAGGTGAGTTTATAGTTGTATGTAAACAGCCTAACTCTCCTCCTTGCCCACACATTCACCAACAGGCACAAACCCCAGTTTGACACAGACCCCTTGCTGTGCACACACACACTTCTGCTTCCCTCCACAGCCTCCTGAGAGAGAACTGACACAGGGGAAGGAGGAGCTTCAACAAAAAAAGGGTTAAATGAAAAACCCTGGCCAGCAGAAGTCCTGGAAAGGGCTGACAGCTAGGAGCAGGAGAAAAGAAACATTTTCTTTCAGTTTTAACATGTAGCAGGAAGCTTTAAATCCTTCGCCCTGTTTCCAGAGGTCACACCACGAGAGCACTAGAAAAGGTTACATTTTTCCACTCAGATTCTGGTCGAAAAGCAGCCGCGCTGGGAAGCTCAGAATCCTGCCTGTTTTCCAGGCTGAGTTTGCAGACATTAAAGGCTGAAAGAAAAATCTTGAATTCTGCATTGTTGTGAAAGCCAAACCAGGAAAGGACAAAAAACAGCACAGGGAAAAAACCAAAATAAAAAAAATCCAACTTTCTCTGTAAATCAGTGTATTTAAAGGATACACTCCTGGTACTGTGATCTGTGTTTCTTTACCTAGAAGTGCACCTGAATAACTTGACTGCACCAATCCCGTAAGAGACTGATGTTCAGTGAAGTGGGGAGTTTGCAGGTGCTATTAAATCACTTAATCTGTGTCCTCATGCAGGCACAGGGGGACAGAACAGCTGCTCCACTCTGGGGACATCAAACATTTGAAAGACTTTTGGTATTTGATATCGGCTATTCTAAACAAGCTGAAGGTTGCCACATAACAAGTTTTTTAAAATTACAAAAGAAAAAATTGTTTTCTGTCAATGAATTCTGGAACGGGAAATTTGCACCTGAAAGACTTAAGTTGGAGGGAGACTCAAGAAACCCAAAAAGGAATTAAAATAAAACCTCAATTTTCCAAGTTGATCTTAATCCCTAAACGACAACACCAAATTAAATGATATAGGAAAAACCCCTGTAGACTTTAAAGGAGTTACAGTAGAGGGTTATAAGCAAGATCATGCAGTGGTAAGTGCAGTTGTTATTCACTCCATTTGCAAACAACGACCCCTTCACAGGAAATCCGATGTCTTTTCTTTTTTTTTCAATTTAACCACAAGGATGTCTGCACACAATCCTGTTACCAAAATAAGATTACCGTGCCAAGATTTTTACATTCCCCACTCAAACATATACAGACAAATCCAAACACACAGTTTGCCCTTCAAGGAGTGGTTTGACTCCAGTCAGAAGAAAGCCTCAAACATGACCACTTCTTATTTTCCCTGTAAGAGGTTCTGGAGCTCTGAAGTGTTTCATAACTGCTATTATTGTTACTATTTATGCAATAGTACTGTGATCTGTAGGACCATAACTCCAAGCTGAGCCCTTGCTCTCCTCAGCTCCACACAGCCAGTGGATCAATGCCCACTCCCCTTGGTGCTTACAGTGTAATTTCAAACTGATTTAGGGCAACCTAAACAACCTTCCATGTCTTGGCGGGTTTTAGTATTTCTGACTAAAATCAGTGCAGTGGGAAACACTGCTGGGTTTTTTTGTATTTGTTGGGAGGGCTTTTTTTTTTTGTGCAGATGCTTCTTTTGGGCCACCCAACACACAAAGAGACATTAGGGTTCACTGGTAAAAGGGATGGCCAGGGTGCAGCACTCAAAAAGTGGGTGAGGGCTCCTACCTCAGGGCTCACAGGTACCTCCACATGGTGCTGGAAAACAAACCTACTGTCAGGAGATTTCATTTCTCTCCACAGCTGTCCACAGCTGATGCTTATTCAGATCCAAAGCAGGCTGGAAAACCATTGCTCTGGAGTTGTCGTCGTTGAGTTTGGACAGTTTGAGGTTGTCAGAAAAAAAAAAATCTCCCTCCTTTGATTGGGATGCCAGGTAGAGAAAGTCAGCAAAGCATGGCATCTTCTGGACATACTGCAGAGGAGCATTTCCTCCTCCCTCTGTGTTCCAGGCACTGAGGCAGAGCCTGGACAGAGTCACTCAGACCCTGCCCGTGTGTGCCTGGTCAGCCACCCATCCGAAAATGTGACCAGGCTGCAGGAGCCAGCTCACTGCATAATTCATGTGACCTCCTGCCTGGCCAGCTGCAAGCTGCTCCTTCTCCCTGCTCCAGTGGCCAGGACTTTACCTGCTCCACAGCCTGCACAGCTCAGGGGGCAGCAGGGGCTTGTCTGGCTCCTGCTGCCCCAGCCCTGGCTGCCCCCTCCCCACAGTGCCAGGCTCTCCTGCACACCCTGAACAGTGCCAGGCTCTCCTGCACACCCTGCACACAGTGCCAGGCTCTCCTGCACACCCTGAACAGTGCCAGGCTCTCCTGCACACCCTGCACACAGTGCCAGGCTCTCCTGCACACACACACACAGCGCCAGGCTCTCCTGCACACAGCACTGTCTTCCCGCAGCTCTTCACGCCCAGGACAAAGCTCGTGTGTGGGAAGGACAAGACAGAGCAGGGAAAGGGAATGATCTGCCTGCCTGGCACATTTCCCTGAAATGCAGCGCTCCTGCCCGGATGCTGATGCCCACACGAGCTGATGCCCACACAAGCTGTGTGCTTCAGAAATGGGTGCTTTTCAGCTGCTTTCTCCCACTCCCTTCTCCTGGTTTCCATTCACCCAGGAATGCCAGAGCGCCGTCCACGTGCCTGGATGTAACCGAGACTTCTGACTTCTTGTCAAAACAGCTTCTATTTTACCCCCCTCCAGCAATTTTATTTGGCCTTTTGTATGTTCCTTACACTTAACTGTAGTAGGGCCAATGACCATCCTACTGGACTATTCAGGTTCCTTCCCTTTAATCCACCCATTCCAATCTTGCTCTTACTCAGCCAAACATCCCATTTTCTTTAGCCCAAAGAACCTCCTACAGATGTACTTGTAAAACCTATGGTGAACTAGCATCATATTGCAATCCAATTATTATAGCAATTTATAAATACATAGTATTAAACCAACTAAAATTAATTCAGTGAACCCATTTTCTGTTGGATTAAAGTGCAAACCAAAACCAGGAAGAATAAATACATTTTACTTATTTTAAAAATGTAAAAAAACCCCCACCCTTCTAAAATGCAATTCTACACTTGACAATATGCCAAGAGACATACACAGAACTTCAGATTTTCAGCAAACATAAGCATCCTCCCGCATTTCATTTTGGTGTTCTCCCAGCACATTTGCACAGTCCCAGGGAGCAGGCTGTGCTCATCTCCAACCTACAAAGCTCTGGTTTGTCCAATCACCCTGACCTTAGCTGAATCTTGGCAAAATCAAACTTTTCCTTTTCAAAGTATTTCCTCTGAGAAGTCGACTGCAAGCCTCCTTCCAGGGACACAGATACAACTGAGCACAGTATCACTTTGAGAAATCTATCAAATGAGACCTTCAGCCTGCAAACCATCACTGGTGCCAGGATTTGGCAGAGCTCTCCACTCAAATGTTGCATTGTGTTAACACAGCTGTATCCACAAGCAAAAGGCGAGGGGATTATGCAAAAAGAGGTTCTAACTTCCATCATTCTTCTGGCTGCAGAAAGGGTTTACAATCCTTTTTTATTATTATTCAAATAACGCAAGGGCTTGTTACTTTTAGAAAATAAATAACGCACACAGCAAAACTGTCAAGTCACTCTTTACACAGCAGTGCGTTTCTGCATTTTGTCGTTTTAATTAAAGAGTTTAAAAAAGCTCGGAAATAACAAAAATTCCCTACCCTCCTTTTCCCTCAAATGCTCACTGTACTTTAGCTCTGCTACCTGAACATAACACGTTTGTGTGAGCTACTCCCCTGAGGAAAGCCACCAACATGACTCAGTGACTAGCTATTTCTGTTTGTAAGGTAAAAAAAAAATCTGACACTCTACACGTGTAGGCAGAAGGGCCACGAAGGACTCACTGCATTCCTTTTCAGGAAGAAACACCCTCCTGAAAAACTACAAAGGAAGCACAAACATGCAACACCCAGGAGCTTTTCAGAAGCACTGAGGAGGTGACAGGTGAACTGTGCTCACCACTCCCCCATCGAGGAGGTGACAGGTGACCTGTGCTCACCACTCCCCCATCACACCCCTCAGTGCATTCTGCAAAACCTGAAATGCAGCAGCACTTCATCCACCCCCAGGTACACAC